CTTCTTTTAGCATTTGATTCATTTTTCTCTAATGAAACCTGCATAAAGTACACAAAGTAAAAAAAAATTACCAATTAATATTAGTTAGAATTCCAAGTAGCTGCAACAACAAAAAAAAATCCAGTGAAATTACACAAGTGGGATCGGAGAGTAGTGTGTAAGCAGATCTTCCCCTTATCTTTAAAAAAGGCAAAGAGGTTGTTTTCGATAAAGCCTCAAGCTCACGAAAGATAAAATGAAGGAACAACAATAAACAAACCAATCAAAAAATCCGAAGCGAAAATACAAGAAAAATACTAAGTAATGCAATCACAAAGCCTAAACGAAAGGTACATTACATTAGCATTCTTGGATTTTCCCTTGGAAATTGATTTCCTTTTTCTTGAATTGGTATCATTTTCACCAACTGGGATCTGCTCAGAAACTGAAGAATTTTCCCTTGAATCTCCCAATTCAGAGTTTTTTGGAACTAAATTCACATCTTTGAATTCTTGAATTTGAGATCCAGATGAGACTTTAATAGACTGATTGCTTGAAACTCTTGAAAGTTTCCCACTTTCCAAATTTGGCTGTGCTACAATTAGTCTATTGTGTTGCAACAATTCAGCTTCATTAAAACTCTTGAAAGTTTTATTAGCAAAACAAGAAAATCTTGCTGCTCTTTCTGCAAATCCAGGATCAGCACTGAATTGTGGCAATTGATTATGTGACAAATTCCCCCTCATAGAAAGATTTAATTTTGGTGGAGAATTTAATGGAGTACTATAACAAGAATTGTTAGTACTACTATTAATCATATTGGAATTTGGTGACATTTCTCTTGAATTGCAAATACTACCTAATCTACCAATTAATTCCCTTAGTACAAAATTCTCACCACTACTATTATTTGTGCTACCATTTGGAATATTGGCATTTGGAGATGATACCATTGAACTTAATGCTGACTCAAATGGATCAGAATTTTCCCAATTGGGATTAAAAAAACAATTTTGAATTTGCTCATTTTCTTGAATTCCAATTCCATAGTTGCCCATTGTAGTGTTACCATCATTTGTAAATAAATTTCCCTTCTCCATTGGAAAAACAAGAAAAGAAAAGGGTAGGAATTTTCTTGAGAAAATGGGAACTAGAGTGAATGTTTATGTTACTAAATATAGAAGAAACAAGACTAGAAAATGAAGTTAGAAACTAAGGGGAGCTAGAAAAGGTGATTGTGATAATGACTTTGCTCTTTGAATTCACTTAAAATGAGAAGGTTATGATCATTGAGATAAAGAGGTGAAAGGAAAAGAGAAATAGAGAGAATGGAAGAAGAAAATGAGGAAAGTGAGACAGAAAAAATAGGAGGAAAGTAAAGAGGAAGCAAGAGGNCTATAGAAGTATAAGATAAGTGGAGTATTTTTATAAGTAGTATCCGAGCTAATTTACGTTAAGTATAAGATAAATGGAAATAGATGCTTGAAATGAAAAGACCTATTGTTTTTTTGTATCTTGTAGGATTAGATATGGGGTATTATTATTTTTAGTCTGTGCTAGAAATTATTTATATTTGTTAGTCGAAAAAGTATATAAAATTTAAATATACAAATTTTATATTTTTTTTGACTATTATTTTTACATCGGCTATACATTGTCATTTTCTCATTAAATAGGGGTTGATTTCTTATAATATTAAGATATTTCAGTTCGTTAAGTTTAAAAAGTCTAAAAAGCACAAATTTTCTATAGAGGTTGAATATGATTTCTCAGGATTTATAAATCACAGACGGTATCTGCTAGCCTTTTGCTGCTGAAAGTATCTTTTTCGCATTAGATGCTAAGTATAGATAGATAGTAAGTATTTAAAAAAAATATTGAATTTGTTTTTCTTGTTCCTTGCTATTTATTTCATTCTTTGTTCTATTTAGAGGAAAGAGGTAGGAAAGCCTTTGTGTTTTTGGCATTTTTTCCATTTCAATTCCTTCTCCTTCTTCTTTTATTTTTATTAAAATAAAATAAAATATTCTTCTCTTCCTTTTTTGCCTTTATTAGTGTGTATTTATGGAATTTTTCTTTTTAAATAAGGAAACTCCACTCATAGGGATGTCATATTAGTTGAGTGGATCTAAGTTCTCTTTATTAGTATTTACGTATCCGTACGAGTTATTTTCGGTATCATGACGATAATATTTACAAATTTTCTTGTTGAAACTTATAAATAAAAAGCTTTAGACTCGAAGTCTTAAAGTTTTCTATAAAAAAAATCGGGAAAATACATAATTATCCCCCTAATCTATACCCAAAGTTTCAACTACACATTTTTTATTCACGGGAATCCTAGTACCCCCCCCTCCCCCAAACTATTTTTTTACCTTAATATCTTGGACCTTTTGTGCTGAGCTGGACTGGAACCCCAATTAAAATACATGCGGTGTAGACACGTGCATCATTAATCGATGGGCCCCCATTCCATTCCCCTTTTTATCTTTTTTTTATCTCTTCATTAAAACATAACACAAGAGACTATCTGAGACCCAAAAATTTCTCCCATTCTTCACTGCACTCTTCGATCCTTTAACCAAATTATCAAGAAATAAAAAAAATTCTTTGTTCTCTTGCAATTGAATACTACTAGATCGAAAACAAGTATAAAGCCCAATTTTAATGGTTCAATTCAAGGAATGGAAGGTCAGATTCAAAGGTTAAACAAGAATAATGTTCTAGGGTTTTTTGTGTATCGATTGAAGGTCAGATTGGAAGGCTAAGCTTTTTATTCGTCACAATCCAAGAGCAAAAGTTAGTTCTTTACTGCATTTAATTACTTTTATGTTAGTTTAGGGTTTTTAAATATTTTTAGCCATTGCAATTTTGTGATTGGCAGATTAAATTTGAGGTTTCTTGTCTGCATATTAATCCCAGAGATTCGATTGTGCATGGGTTCAGTGAAAACTTTTGGTTTTTAGCAAGTAAGTACTTTCTAATACTAGTATCTACAGTTTGTCGAATTCTGTTGAATTTTGTTTTATCGATTTTTTTTTCTTTGTTTGCATATAGTTATGAATGGGTTTGCTTTAACCACTTTAAGACTATATCATGGTGGGGTGTTAGAGTTTAGAAATGGGGAACCAAAATATATTGTTGGGGTAATGAGTGAATATTTGGATGTTGACGTGGATACCCTATCCTATTTTGAGTTGAAGGATTATATTAAAGAATTAGGGTACAACTCAAGTTATAAATTTAGTATTCGGCCAACTAACTGTGACATTTTAGGAGATATTGAAAATAACAGGGCTCTTTTAGCAATTGGTAAGTCTTTACAATATGGGGCTGTTTTGGAAGTATATATGCACATGCCTGAGGAGGAATCTTGTTCAGCTTTTAATAAAGGGGCTACTTTTAATGGTTCTGCTGCTCCTCCAAACACTAATGCTCCTTCAAACATTGTTGTTCCTCCTTCAATTAATGTTGCTCCTACTCCAAACACTTCTGCTCCTCCACACACTTCTCCTCCAAATACAGTTGTTTCTGGTGATCCAATTGTTGATCCAACATTCACAGCAGTTGCACTCTCAGATCCAGTATCTTCTCCAACTGAAGATTACTCAAGTGATCTTGAAAGTGACTTCTTTGGGGGGGGGG